TAGTTCTGAACTTTATTTTTCGCGTTACTTCTTCTCTGAGTTTTCCATTGCAGTCCTTTCCTGCCCTTTCACATGGGAATCCTCATCGGAATCTCGTCGGCACTGCGATCTCCTTCGCCTGAACTTCTTACCTCTTTCTTTTAAGTCGTAAGGCCCTTTCTTTTCCTATATCAAATCTCTCTGTTTATGAATATAATAAAATAATATTATGTATATGTGTTTTAGCGTGATCTAATTCATGCGTCTGCTTGTAAAATAAAAGGAAATAGTTGCTTGAACTTATGTTTATCCTTTAATTTTATTTGTTTCCTTTGTTGTTTAAACTGATTGATCTTCGATTCAGAATTGTTCATGTTCATCTCCCATTCTTTTTTTTGGTTAAATTGTTTCATTATCGATGATTTTGCATTTTGGACAGTAGATAAATTAGCGGACGTCTATAAGAGTTGATTCAGTTGTTTGTTCAATCTGGATGTGAAGATTTGATATCATTATTGTTGTTTTTATGATATTTGGTATTGGTTGCTTTCATGCTGCTGTTACTTTGGGGCTTATGGGTATTTGTTGCAAATAAAAAAAAAGAATTTAAATGAGAGACAAAAGGTCTACTTATATGTTTAAATGCTATTCTACAATGCACGATTTCTTTGATGAGGTAAAATCACAAATTATCAAAGAAAGGTATTTGAAACCGGAAGCCCTTTTACTATTAGGTACTATATAGAATGATGTTTGCTGAGGTTGGAGACGACAGAAGAGTTTTACAGCTTTGTTATCTGTCCATTCAAAAGAAAGAAATTGAGTTATTTAACCTTGGATGGCATAACTTGATGAATGATTGTACATGAACTCTTAGTTTATTCTAGGGTCTGATAAAGCTGCAGTCTAAGCTCTAATGATTATGAATGATAGATAGACGGGGGGGGAGGGTATCTGAATTGCTAGTGTTCTGCTTCTTTTCATGATGCTTTCAGTGTTTTTGGTAACGTTAAAGATAAATATAGACCTCAACCGTTTGTCTTGCATCTTAATTTTTGTACTTATTTTGCACAGATTTTAGTAGTTTTAACTGTTTGTCTGTTGAAATAGGAGGAGCCTTCTTGATTTCAGATATTTTGTATTCTCAGTTTGATTATACTTCATAGGTGAAAGAACTTACGAAAACAATTTTTATTGCCAATAACACCTTTCAGGTGGGGGTCTTAGTATTCCTTGAATCCTGTGAAGTAGTGTGACTCTCTTTTCATGTCAGTGAATAATGAGAGCCAAGCAGCTGTTCCTCAAATTAACTAATCATGTGTCTTCCTTTACCATCTACTGAAGAAACTAAGTCAGTTTACATGACTTGCTATTTCTTAGTGATAACTGTTGTTGGTTTTTTAGATTTTTGTTTTGACTTAGTGTGCAACAAGGTATTGCTTGAACAATCTTGCTGGAGTAGAACCTGGAAAGTCTTAGATCACTGCATTGTGTGGTGTTTTGATTTTTGACTGTTGCCACTGCTATGACTACTGTCAAGACTCGGATGAGTAGCATCTCTTGAAACCTTTCCAGTGCAGCTCCATTTCTATGCCCTGGACTTAAGTGTGGGCCTAATGGCACTGTCTTTCTATCTTCTGGGAGACCCGACCTCGACAGTAATGCATACACATAACTGCCTACCATTCTATTGTCACTGACTTGAGTGACGTGTTCTCTTATTGAATAGTTTTTACTTGTTATGCAGAGGTACTGGGTGGTGGGTTCCCTTTGTGAAGCCTAGTTATAGTGATGGAAGATGCAGAAGCACCTCATCACATGCTTTTGTTGAGGAATTTCATGGCTCAGGGACTTGTTCACGGCCAACCTCTTCTCTATGCTAGTCCAGCAAGAGATCCAAAGGGGTTTTTGGGTACTTTGCCTAGTCCCGCTGCATCCAAAGATAAAAAATCCCGGGAACCTGGTCCATATCAGGTCCCTTCATCTTTGATTTCCGTTTTCTTTGGGTTCTTCAGTTTGTTTGAAATATTGTTTGTTTAAATTCTCCGAATGTGAATGTCATATTCAAAAAAATTGCAGGAGAAAGGCCTGAGAATTGCTTGGCAGTATAAGAAGTATTTTGGTGAAAAAAAGCTCAATTTTGATGGCCAAAGAGGTAGTTTATCCTTCATTACACTCATCGCCTTTCAGTAGTTGTTTGAAAGTGCACTGTTCTTAATCAATGTTCTTTCTACCGTCATTTCTCTGTTGTTTGTTTGAAAGTGCCCTGTTCTTAATCAATGTTCATGCTATTTTCTTTTTGAAAGTACTAGTTGTATCTCTTTACGTGAACATGGTGCAGATGGAAAACGTGAGTACTCTAATGAACTTGACTTGCGGAAGCCCCTAGAGAGGCACTTAATCGTTGGGCAGTGCATAGATTGTGTTAGCATCCAAGATTCTTCTGATCTTTCCACTCTTCAAGATAGATGTGCAACATTTTTATCTCAGTTGCCAGGGTATGATTGGTTTCCTTGTTCATATATTAATGATGTGGGAAACATTTAATCCTGCTGCTATAAATATTAATGTTTAATTTTATTATTACCTGTTTTATCATCTCCCTTATAGCCACATGAATAATCCTGTATGAAGTTCCAAAATCTTATTTTAGTGTATCGACTAACTTGCCATTACCTTTCTTTTCCTTCTTTCCATTTGGTATACTTGTCGATCATTCCTCTTTTTTGGCAATCTTGTAGAAATGATGGCAGTATTTATTGTGCTGGTTGTATCGCTATCCAATCATTTTGTGCTCCACAGTGTTCATATTCTAACATGGTTAGTAGTAGATTTTTAAGATTTAATGAGCTATTACAAATTCCTGTTTCATAAGTGAGTAAATTTAAAATGTTTTTGGACCATTCAAACTGTAGAAGTCGTAGTTAGAAGTCACTTTGATGGTATGCCATTTTAAAGGGTCATAAACTATTGCAGGAGTGGGAGATGCTTTGATTTATTAGATCTCTCAAAAGCATGGTACAGTCTTCGAATTCGGTCACCATAATAACCTTTTCCTCCTTTCCTTCTTTCACTATCCTTCGGTAAAAGTGGCAGCACATGGCAGACACGCTGCTTTCTGTCAAAGCAATTCAAGGTTTATTGTCAGTCTACCTCGTGCTTATCATTTGCACTTATTGATTTCAAGTTTGTACCAACTTATTAATCTCTTGGATTCTTCATGCAGATGAAGACAAGGAGTTGGCACAACTCCTCAATGGTTACCTGGATATGGTTGGCTTTCTGAATGTGCACAAAGTGGCGTGCATCAACACACAGGTTTGTTAGTATTAATCTTCATCCTAGTTTTGTACAGCTTGATCTTATTCCTTATACTCTTATACCTTATTTTTCTGAAACGTTATCAGGTTCCTGTGATTCTTGAGGCAACAACCTTCTCAATCAAGTTGCACTAGCGTTGGTATTTGGTGTTAGAATGCCTAAATCAGGCCCGTCGATGGTTCGAGTGGATCTTCGTACTGAACATCAGGTAGTTGCTCTAGTTCCTCCAAAACAGGGAACCTCGATTTTTGACTGCATATTTCAGTACAATTGAACAGATGACAGCAAGAAAAGAGATGCCAACACAAGACCAAGAACTCAACCAGTGATGCCAACACAAAAAATTGATGTTATGTTTTTGGTGATTGCATTCAGTAGCAAATCTCTTGGTGAGCCAAATAGAAGATTGTTTCTTGCTATATGTATAATGTAGGAAAAATCTAAGAACACCACTGAGTATTGCCTAGCTGAGCCTGCTGGAATAATAAATGACATTTTTCCATACAAGAATTTATGGTCATGTACTACTCAACAGTTTAAAAGTTTATGCAAAACATGTTTATCAATTAAGGTTCGTGTATTATTTGATGCTTTCTCTTTCATGTGATACTGTGGTTTTAAAAAGTGCGCCTAAGGCACCGGGCGCAGTCAGGGACCGAAAAAATCACCTTCGGATGCACAGGTGCAGCGCATAACGGCAGAAGCGCGCTTATTGTGCCCTGCGGGGGCTGAATTAACTGAAAATAGGAAGAAAAAAAGGAAGAAGATCAAAGAAGAAATAGAAGAAAACAGAAAGTGCAGTAGAATGGCGGCAGAAAGGTTGGAGAGAACCTTGTTCACTTTTTCGTCGTTTTTTTCCTTTCTTTTTTCATTTTGTTCCAGCTTTGGAAAAATAAATAAAATAGATTTAGTAGAGAGAAAGAAACGCTTTCTTTTCTGCATTTATTTTTATATTCCAATTTTTCAATATAATTAAAGTAGTCACACCTTTTCTAAGAAAAGTGCTCATTACTACAAACATTTTAGTAGCAGAATCAGTTTCATGTTCATCATCCAAATGCTATAGTTTCAGGTCAAGTGTTGCCCTACGGCATTGAATTATACTGCTGATCCTTTCGCGATAAGGCTAATGCTTTGAGTCTGCTTCTACAACAAGAAGCAGAAGTGAAGCATTAATGGCTGCCTCCACCTCAGATCAACAATAAATTTTCCTGGATCTAAGCGAAACTAGACATCAAGGCGACGCAGACAATACAACTTCCCTACATATAAATTGTTGGCTAATCAACATGAAAACCGCAACGCAGCATATATCCTATTGTTGGCTGGGTTTCGACTTTTGAGTAACGAGTAGTTAAAACTAGACAAGCCGCACCACATTGGAAGATTTGCTAAACTTCAGGGTCCATATGTGCCATTATCCCTAAATTTTATTATTATTATTATTAGACAGAAGTATCAACTTTGGCTTCTGTTTTTCCCTGGTAGGATAGGATATAGTGTTTCTCTTTTAGATTAGAAGCTTGTGACTTGTTCATGCACCATGATGAGATATTGTGTTCAAAGAAAAGTTTTCTGACTACATTTTCGCATCCTATGTCATAATTCAGAAATGTATAATAAGTACATAAGATCAAAGCATCGCATTCTTCACCAATCAAAATGAAAGACCAAGCATCCATTATCATTCATAACACCGTAAGGACCTCAAAAACCAAATCAAAGCATCACAAATATTCAAAATTAAACAACACTAAGCACTTGAATAATAAAGTGGTCGCCTGTACTCGTCAAAGTACTCATCTCGATTCGCAAAAACAATGGCGTAAAGAGCGTATATTATCCCAGGAACATAACCCATAATCGTTAAAATCAAACATATACAAAACTCTACCTGCAAAAACCCACAATTCCAATTTAAAATTTAAACCAAAAATCGGAACCTCAACCCAAAACAAAAGGACAAATTTTACTTACGCTGCAACAACCGTGCCTTAAGCAAACACCTAAAGGAGGGAGCAAAATGGCGATGAGCAGTTCACAGCAGATTTCGCAGCTTGAAGGCATCTTTTTTTTTGGCGTTTGTGATCCAGTAATTAAAGTGGTTCAACTAATATTAGCGAAATGAGACCTTCTTTCTCTTCTAAATGGAGATGTGAACCAAATAAAAATAAAATAAATCAATGCTCCAATCACCAGACAATTGAATCCACCTAATTGATTCTGAACGGTTCATTTGTTTTGACTATAGTTCCAACGAAATTTTAGGTTATTAAATTTACAGAATTTGGAAATTTTAATTTATTTTTCAAATATATTTAATTTTGAATTTTAAATATTTTTATAAATTTTAATTTTTTATTAAAATTATATAAATAATTTTTTTTGGGTAAATAAAGACTAAGAACCTAAAGCAACTTATTCCTTCCTATAAGCATTAGCTTCTAGCTGAACCAGCTAGCCAATCTCCGCTGGTGGATTTCTGTGCACGATATGGTCCTGTGAATCCATCTTGACGAGATTAGTCAGTCTGTCTGCAATGAAGCTCGACTCCCTTGATACATACTTGACATCCACACTACATTCTTTATCTAGTAATTCATATATCTTATTCACAAGTGTGAATGATGCGTTCCTTGTTTGTAAGAGACGTGTCACTTCCAGACTGTCTATTTCCAGAATTACTTTGCGTTCGCCTAATCTCCATGTATGTTGGAGTCCTTCCCATATTCCCCAGAGTTCTGTTTCCGCTACTGTGCATATCCCGACTGCTATGGAGAAACCGATAACCCAGCATCTTGAGCTATTTCTAATAACTTCCCCACATGAAGTTGTTTCATCCGTGATATGACGTTCGCCATCCGTGTTCAGTTTAACCCATCCCTGTGGGGGTGGTTTTCATGCTTCTAATCCGTGTTTCGTTTCCTTTTTTTCACATCTACTGTAGTGTTGCCACATTGTCGTCTAACAGTCACCCGCTGCGTTCCAGTATCGTTCCATTTTCCACGTAGCCTGGATCGAAGATGTTCTTGTTTCGGCGTAACCATATTGACCATATGATTGATCCGAATAAAAGGTCACAGTTATCTATGTCTATGGCGAACTGTTCCGGTTTAACGATGTTTATGTAAATCCATTGTTTTGTTTCTAATTCCATGAATTCTTTCATCTTCTCCTGTCTGATTACGCTTTTCCATGTTGTATACGCGATCGGACACTCTCGAAAAACATGGTGTATTGATTCTTCCGCTGCACCACATGCCTCACATCTTGTTTGGGATGTTAAATGTCTACGAGCCCTTTCTTTATTTGTAAGGATTCTCTCATGTGCCATGAGCCATAAGAAGGTTTTGATTCTCGGAATTCCTCGAGACGTGGCTATAGAAATATAATGTCTTCCTTTACCATGCTTATATTCGGGTTGGCTCTTTTTTGCTCATATGCAGATTTGACCGAAAATCATCGATCTGATTTCCACTTCCATCCTATTCTGTCTTCACTTGAATCTTGACTTGGTGGCGTGGTTGACGTGATTCTCATGTTCACCCTTTAGGGTAACAGGATTTGAAATTCAGTCCATTTCCATCTTCCCCTCTCGTCAACCATGGAGGTGACATTTGTGTGGGCCTGTTCGGTAAACGTTGCACTAATTCTAGGTTGAACACTAACGAGCTTAGCCGTCCCATGTCTTCCAACCATGGATCCCACCAGAAATCCGCTTTCCTTCCATCTCCTACGTTCCATGTTATTCCCTTCGTATATCTTTCCACACCAGACTTATGCGTCTCTAAATGTGTGAACATTGCCTTTGGACTAGGGAATCTGGTAAGCCGTCTCTCCATTTATACTTCGACCTCAAGACTCGCACCCATGGTTGCTCTTGCTTTGTTATCATATTAAATCCAAGCTTTATCAAGAATGCCTCGTTTTGATGGTGCATTTCTTTAAATCCTTTGCCTCCCATCGTTATTGGTTTGCATAGCTCTTGCCAATTTACTAAGTAAACTCCTCCCTTTTGATCGGACACACCCCACACAAATTTACGGATAATTATTTCAATCTCTTCCCATATTCCTTTTGGTAGCATTGTTGATTGCATGGTGTAGTAGGGGATCGTAGAGAGAATTGTGTTTGCTAATGTGATCCGCAGGGACGTGGCTGAGCCTGCGCACAGTGCGGGACAACATAGGGCCTCAATAAACAGGAGTCTCGAAATAGAGTATATCTATCAGTTGTTGCTATTAAAAAAGCAGAAAAATAGGTATAGAGCAGTGGTTAAATCATTGGGTCCATGATTTTATTGATCCTAAGTTCGAATCTAGTTAATAAGTAAAATTATTTTTGGGAAAAACAAGTTCAAATTTGTACAGAGGCTCCGAAATAGAGTATATCAATCAATTTTTTTAAGTTAATGAAATTAGTTATTTATTATTTCAGAAAAATAAGATCGAAATCTAAAGGCCCTTTACAAGAATTTGCACATAGACTACAACAACCTAGCTACGGCCCTGGTGATCCGTCTTGCTAAGGAGAGGTTACAAGCTTTCCATCCCGAAAGTCGGTCCCTTACCTTTTCCACTACGTATTGATATGATGACTTTGTTACACGCTCATTCAATAACGAAACTCGTACGTATTTTCTTAGGTAGAAAACCGAGTTGTGTTCTAATTTCTCGTCACATTGTTTCCTCAACGTTCTTGGAGAAAAAATAGTTGTTTTTTCGACATTTACCTTGTTTCCTGATACGTTGCAGTATTCCTCCAAAATTCTTTTGATGCTCGACAATTGGCTTGCATCCTTTTCCGTAAATAGTATTATATCATCTGCAATGAACAATTGAGAGATGATCGGTCCGTTTCTAGATAACGGAATTGGTTTCCATTTCCCTATGTTAACCTTGCATTGAATTGTTTGTGTTAGTCTTTCCATACATAACACAAATAAATAAGGTGATAAGGGGCCGCCTTATCTTATGTCTCTCGTAGGGTTGAATGCATCCGTAGCCGATCCATTCCAGAGAATCTAAGTGGAGACCGACGAAACGCATCTCATTATCAGTTCCCGGATTTTAATTGGGATTCCAACATCGCTCAGTGTGTCATCAATGAAAGACCATTCAAGTTGATCATATGCTTTTTCAAGATCTATTTTGATTGTAATCCATCCTTTCCTGCCTTTTTTCGATTGCATGGCGTGTACTACTCCTTGCGCTGCTATATTTCAGCTTGGAACAAAGTTTGTTTGATTGTGTGAAATCCATTTACCAAGTAGTGGTTTTAATGGGTCCGCTATGATCTTCGTTACCACTTTATATAGCACCGAAGATAGGCTTATCGGTCAGTATTGTTTGATAGACTCTGGAGCTTTGACCTTCGGTATTAGTACAAGGAGGGTTCGGTTGATTGCATTGTTGAACTTCCTTCCTTCAAAAATTTCTTTATGCATCGACAAACCTGCTTCCTACGACATTCCAATTCCTTTGATAAAACATTGCACGGATGTCGTCTATTCCCGGTGCTTTGAATGGGTCAATGCTGAAAACTACTCGTCTTATCTCGTCATTGTCTACTGACCGGCGTAAATCTTGTAAAGCTTTCGTGGATTCTTGCGGAAATAGTCCCCGGATTGAATAATTATAGCCGTCTCTTCCGTTGCTTGTGTAAAGTTGTTGAAAGAATTCCACAGCCGTTTTTTTTAACATGTTCTGATCCGAGCAGATTTAATCGTCCTGTATTTTCAAGGCTGTTATTTTGGTTCGTCTTTCGTAGTTGAAGTGTGCTCGCATGGAAGAGCTTAGTATTTCTGTCGCCTTGTCATATCCAATTGCTTCTTAACTTTTTGAACCACAAGTTTTCTTCGTATATAAGCATCTCGTCTAGTTCTTTCTTCAGCTGCTGATCTAGCTCTACCAGTCGGTCGGATTGTGTGTGTCTGAGTTCTCGGTCTATCCCTAGTATACGTGCTAGTTGTTTCTACTTTTTTCTATCGATGTGGCCGAAAACATTTGTGTTCCACTCATGGTGCCTCCTTCCTTATCCCACGTTTCTGATATGAATTTGCCAAAGTTTGGGTGTTCTTGCCATGCGGCTAGAAATCTCAAAGGCCGTGATGCTGTTGCATTCTCTGTGTTCTCGATCTTGAGAAGAAGAGGGTAAAGGTCCGAGCGTACCCTATCCAAGTGTAAAACTGTTGCCATAGGAAATTTCTCGGCTCCATATTGGTTAATGAAGCATCGATCTAAACATTTGCTTAGTCATCCTCTCTTCCATGTAAAATCCGCACCTAGATCTGTACTCAATCTCAATCATACCACTATCGAAAACAAACTCATTGAACCTTCTGCTAATCTCGGATGCCCCCATAATACATGTACTGGTTGTCGTGGGTTCTAATTTCAAAAGTTGTTCCCATAACTGCTTTCGTATCATGGCGTTTGGGCTTGCATATACGACCGTAAATGTTAACCATTCTTTGCTTTATAATGTTTTCAATCACCCATGTATAAATTGGTTGGAGATATCTACCTCAACCGATTTCTTCCACTTTAACCAAATACCGTCGCTGAATCCATGAGCTTCAACTCTAAAGGAATTCGGGAAACCAAATCGTTTTATTACTTTGTCCGCTGGAAGTCTGCTTATCCTTATTTTAAACAGTGCTACCATCTCCGGCTTGTGTAACTTACAGCATTCGGAGAAACGTCGTCGGAAACTTGGGCTCGCTACGCCCTAACTATTCCAAAAAATGATGTTAATCATCATCATCAACTTCATCGTTCTGCTCCTATAATAGGATCTTCAGCTACCTTTTCCTTGTAAAGTGCCACCTGCATTTCCATTTCTTCGGTTCGTCTAGGGTCTAGATTCTCTTGTGTCCCACTAACTGACTCATCTTCAATGTTTGGTGATCTATCTATCACAGTAGTATTAACTCCGTGTATGCTAGGTTCAAGCACTTGTAAGTTCGATTTAACCCATTCCTTCATCACAGGTACGGACGGTAGTTGGCTGCTCGTGTGCATTTGAACTCGTTGGTTCTTCCGTGTTTTGTCTGGTTTTTTTTTGGATACCTGGTCGTCTACCTTTACCTCTTTGTGTTTGCTTCTCTTCTTCATCAATCATCACCGCCGTATGGTTGCCTGA